AGGAGTACTTGTCTAAAGCCTACGTTCAACTCTCACACATGGCTCCAAGAAATTGTTTCGTTATTGCGACGATCACACCCCGATCAACGGCATCGACCTGCCGGCTAAACAGTGTGAATGTAGTCGGAAGTGTTTCCCGACCCGACCGCTGAAAAAAAAATGCCTCTTCCCAATCCACCTGTGCCAAGCGACCATTGGCCAGTCGCCAGCTTGTGTGTAGGAGTTGCGACTCAGAAGTCAAAGGCTTTACCAGTGGAAATTCTAAGGGGAGGGACGGGGTAATCTCAATATCTCAGGCAAGACATTGCGCTATTTTGCCTTGAATGTCACCATTAACCACAATTACGACCGAAACGAGGACGACAATGGAGCAGAATGCGCTGAATAGATGATGCTGATGATGCTGATGCTGCTGATGCTGTTGCTGATGATGATGATACTGTAGAAAACGCTACCAACAGAAAACTATCGTCACCAATATCATCATCAGCAGCACCATTGTTTATCATCGTCAGCATTATTATGATCACCATCATCATCATCATAATCGTCATCATCAATGCCTCAACTACTTCAATAGTTAGAGCGGGGAGGGGGATCTGGAAACAGAAGAAACAGACAACCTCACTCAGTCTGATAATTTTGGCGGTCGCCCACAGGAGTTCCGGTACTATCATTTTGGAAGTGTGGTAATGCACTGAATATGAAAGTTGGTATGGACTGACACGATAAATATAGACATAATATATTTTTTTTTATATATATATATCTCCAAACCGTTACCGTTTTTTGGAGAAAACGTGTTCAAATATTAACTCTACGTGATCGGTGAAAACCTTAGAGCACAGCCATATTACATTTATAGTTTACGAAAGCTTTACAAATTGTATCTGTACAAGATGCATGGCACAAGCACATTATTACTAAATCATTGTGCCATCAAATAAGACCTTCATTTACTTCAAAGGGAAGTTACACTGAACAATTTAGCTATATTATGATGTTTCCATTCATAAAGGAATTACTAAGTCTTGTAGGAAATAGAAAAAAAACAGATTTAACCTCTTTCGTTATTTCTTGTTAAGCTCTCGCTTATAGTGATATTTAGCAACCCCCCACGAGGGTTACATGTGGCACAAGGCCGTGTTTAAAGTGGGATCTCCCAGCCCGTAGGCTCGGCCAAAAATATTCCCTCTTTGAACACGCATAGAAACAACATTGCAGATAACCTATTGCCCTTATCCTTCCCATAGGGTGCTTTCACTGGAGAGTTTATCGTCATTAACCCTCGCCAGAACCTATTCCCTTCATTTCTTTTAATCGCCGGTAGATATTTTTAAACTAATCTTTGAACGGCCATCCTTCGGGGCTAAGATGTATTGCCCAAACAACAGTACTTGCTATCTTGTCTGTTATTCATAGTGAGATTAGAAGATGGTTGGATTAGACAGGGTTGTCTTTTGAACGTTGTCAGTGTTGCAATCTTGATAAGAAACGCCAGGAATTTAACTGCGGATACTTCGAAAATAGAATTCTTCTAACTTTGAAACTGTTGAAAAAAAATGTACCATTAATCTCGAAATATCCAGACTTATGATGGATGAAACTAACAAGCTAACTATCAGTATGTAAAGCATTAATTCTAAAATACATTTACTAATTAGAATTTTATAAATCATTTCGCACCAAACATGGCGATAAAACCACTAAGACGCAAGAGGTCACTGTGTGTGAAAGAATATTAGAAAATGCCAATGAGGATTGTTGTAGAGTAGTTTTCACAGTGGAGGCTTGTCGCTAAGTCGATCCTAAAAGGGTCCGGCGTGCAAAACGTTAGGAACTTGCAATAAGAGTTAATGACGCAGCAATTTAGTTGTGATGGTTGATACGTCAATGTCCGACATCGTCTAGTATTTAGTCACCCCCCCACCCACGAGAGGTATCATGTGGCACAAGGCCGGTTTAACGTGGGATCTCCGAGCACGTGGGCTCGGCCAAAATATAACTGATATATCGACTGACCCACTATAAACTGGGTTCAGGGACCGCTACTACTCCCCATTAAAGTGGGAGTCTGCCCTTCGAATAGCCTCGTTCAGTTCCTCCCAGGATAAAGGATAGTAAATGATGGTTTGGTTTGTTTTCAACTATCAACCGCTACTGGGTACTACTCGACTGCCTATTATATGTAACAAGTCTATTAATAACAATTTCGACTGAATAGGTATTCGAGGATAAAGGGTGGTTTACTTTCGTTTTGTACCACCTTTTACGCTCCGCTATCAAAATCTGTGGGAACCTCGACGTGGTGTAATGGTTAAAAAGCTTGTCTTGCTAGAACAATTTCGACTGAATAGTGAATTCGATCCTCACTGGGTGTCCCCGACTTTCGGCCTTGTGTCACATCTAAGCTCCGCTTGGTAAAAATCACTTTGGGAACCTCGACGTGGTGAAATAGTTAAAAAGCTTGTCTTGCTAGATCAACTACGACTGAGTAGTGAGTTCGATCCTCACTGGGTGCTCCATACTTTCAGCCGTGTGCCACATCTAAGCTGTGCTTAGAGAATCACTATCAACCTCAATGGGTTAGTTAACGCCGATAAGATTTTTATTACTAGTAATTTTTTTGTTTTTTTCAAAAAATGAATTGCTGGTATTAAAATATATTTTTATACTTTCATAGTGTTTTGACCCCTTTTGGTCAGGGGTAACTGTTTGTCCATAGCTGGGACCCCTAACATGTGCTAGAAATTATTAGAAGAGAATATACGGTTATATTTAGCTATTTCAATAGGAAAAGGATGAAACTTAGCTGCCAAAGAGGAAAACTCGTTTGACAGTTACATTATATAAACAATTCAGAGCAATTGTTTTTTTTTTTTTGTTGTATACGCATTATCTTTGCGCTAATGTTTTAAAAGATTCAATGGTCGATTAAAGCTGATGTGTATAGAACCAAAACTTCACCACGCTTGTGCCAGACACACCACAGAGTGTGATTTTTTTTTTTCTGCATAATATCTAACAGAGCATTGTTGCTAGCCTCACGCCTACCTAGTTCTGAATTCAGCATTTTCCTTTTCCTCCACTGGCCCCCAACCAAGGTTAGAGCGTCAAGTCTACCCTGCTATTTATATTTAATCCATAACTAAGGCGAAGAGAAAAGGTGATTTTCCAAGAAGATTTGTGCGACAGTGAATACAGAGGTCCTTGCCAGAATTCGAACACGCTACAAAGATATCACTAAAACTGCTACACGATGCACCACCCAATGACAGACTTAAAATGACCTACCCTTTTTCTATGTCCAGCTGAGACAGAGCACAACGTGAGGCGCGAACTCACTACTCAGTCGTAATTGTTCTAGCGAGGTCAGCTTGCTAACCATTGTACCACGTCGTATGTTCTCCCTAATCTGCAGTTATGAAATGAAAGGAAAAAAAAACAACTGTCATAGTTAAAAAAGTCATGAAAGAGGATTTTCTTTACATAGCATTTCTTATATATTTGTTTTATTGGGCACCTCGAGGCCGTGTAATGGTTAGCAAGTTTACCTCGCTATAACAATTGCAACTGAGTAGTGAGTTCAATCCTCACTGGGTACTTGAAAAATCACTATATTCATTTTTATTTACGACAGGTCAATCACAATTTTTAAGAATTATAATTTTCACTGAACAATTTTGACTAGCGATTTAATAAATTTATTCTTTTTTAATTTAAAAAAAAAATGAATAACAAAATATTTCTGCTGGAAAGATACGTAATTATTAAATCATTACCACAAATAAAGTGTCCTGGATAAACTACATCCAGCAGCAAGGCGTCTGATCGGGAGGTTTTGACGATAGTGGAACAACCTCTTGGTTGCCGTTGTTCCCAGGTTCATCCTGACCCGTGGTGGTAGCACCTTTTAGTGTTCCCAGCTATAGGCAAATAGTGAATCCCCAAACTGGGGTCAAAAGACTATGAAAGTATAAAAATAGATTTTTACAGTAAAAAATACCAGCAATACATTTCTGAAAACAAATTACCAACAATAAATTTAACTCTTGACAAAAACCCTCTTTGCAAAAATATGTCAATGAAAACTGACCTACAAACTGATTTATTACAAAGAATGCATACAGTGTTTGACGGGTAAATTGACGCCATTTTATATTTTTAATTTCGTGCGCATGCGCATTGTTTTGGATTTTGTCGACTGCTTTGTATAGTAGTGAAAAAAAAAACACCATGACGCAATTCACTCCGTCATAAATTTGGAAACAACAAAGAGTATTACTTGATATTCGCGCCAGAAACTCCAACACCAACATTTTAGAGTGATTGGGTGTCAATTTGAGGACGGTGCAGAGGATTCCGAAAGAGTTGGATGAGTCTAATGGTGATTACGAAGGTACGGCAGAACGGAAAAACTCACTCTGATCGTTATGATAAAAGCCCGAATGTTTGATAAGGGGTCCAGACTCATAACGGAGGCCTACATCAAATGTCTTGAGGAAGTAGTGCTGCCCTGGGTCAAGATGGTGGCTGCTGGATGACCCTGGGTCTGGTAACATGAATCAGTACCAGGCCCCACAGGATCCAGTCATAACTGTAAGAAAATTTCTGTGTCCACATCACCCTTTATATCTGGCCACTTCACTCCCCAGAAAGCAACCCACTTGATTATGTGTGATCTGCAGTTGAGCGAGGGGCCAACAAAACTCCTTGTAACACTAAAGATGAACGGAAGGCAAGGATTATGGCAGCATTCAAAAACATAAACAAGGAGTCTGTCCAAAAGAGTTGCTGGAGATTCGGAAGTTGTCTGGAGGTTGTGCTTGAAGGCAATGATTTTTTTTTACTGAATAAATCTACTTTTTAGGATTTCAAGATATTTTTGTGTAATTTTTTAAAATATATCTGTCAAAATAAGAATTTAGACGACAATTTAGTCATACTGTATTCTATTTCTACGAACTTATCCTATAAATGTTGTCAGAATTAAATAACACATTGAGATTGATATGGTGGGAAGAAATAGATAGATATATACAGACTAAAATAGATAGATAGATAGATAGATAGATAGATAGATAGATAGATAGATAGATAGATAATGAACAGACTATAATAGATATGAACAGACTGAAATAAATAGACAGATAGATAGATATGAACAGACTAAGATAGATAGATAGATATGAACAGACTAAGATAGATAGATAGATAGATAAATAGATAGATTAGATTGATAGATATGAACAGACTGAAATAGATAGATAGATAGATAGATAGATAGATAGATAGATAGATAGAACAGACTGAGATAGATATTTATTTATAGTTTTTCTTTCGCTGTCTTTTAAAAATAAATCTTAGTTTTCTTAATATCAGATAAAAGCCGCCGAAAACAGATTCCGTATTTTTAAAAGACATGGAACTATTTTTTTATAATTTATCAAATTAGGTTTATTATGGAAATACATGAGCCATTTTGGTTCGCTATTTTAAAAGCTTCCGAAGTATTGTTAAAAACTAAAATAGAAATTCCAGTCGTAAAGTCACGACAGGCCGTTAAACTTAAAAATTGTTCGGAAAGCAAAGCACATCTTTCAAATCTAACGAAGATAATATAATTTGAGTCGTGGCTATTCCCTGTGTTAACCTGAGATCATCCCACTGAGAAGAAAATCTGGAGCCTCTCTCGCTTTTAAGTTGGGCATAACGCATGCGCAGTAAAGAATCTGACGCACCGATCTGCGCAGGCGAAAAAAAAAGAAGAAAAAAAACAGTCAGTAGAAACGGTAATCGCAGAAAATGTAGCATATGCACTTTTCTTTTTATTCTATTTGAAATTTGATTATACCCTTTCGCTTCCATTTAAATCGAGCTACCAGTCCGTTGCTTTTCCTGAAATGTCAACAGATATGAACTTTTTGTTCAAAACGATTTCCTCTTCTCACACGGTTTTTTTCATGCTTCTTCCCTCCTCTTTTGTCTCGTTCATTTTATTTCTCCCCGACACACACCGGCAAATACGCAGACATACAATGAAAACGATACACTTCTTTGCTCTCTCGCAAATTGGTAAGCTTTTATTTACATACTTGAACCATATCAGACTTTTATGATGGAAATCAAATGCGCATTTATCGTTAATTGTGCAGCTGTTATTGAACTGATCTTGCCTGCCGATGACTCACTAAGCGGCCGGCCATGTTACGATACCCGAATTGCTTTTGTTCAAAAAAACACTGGAATTACTTAACTGAATTTTAACTATCGTGCGTGTTATGACATCAATTTCATCCATGTCTGTCCGTTTCTGAACACTCGAAGCTGCCAATGTAAGAATGGTAAAACTTTATCTTCATTTACAATGTTAAAACGTTATCTTGATTTAAACCTCTCTCTCTTTCTCTCTTATCTGTCTCTATCTGATAATATATATATATATATATATATATATATATATATATATATATATATATATCAAGCATTAAATTTACTTTCTTTGTGTAGTTTTTAAACATTTAAATTACTATCAAACGTTAAAATCTGTTTTTATCTAAATTGCTAAAGCGAAACCACCCCGCTCCTTCCTCCGTACATCCCAAATCTCTTTACTTTCACCTTTTTTTCTTTTTTCAGTTTTTTCTTCTTTTCCTTTTCCCATATCATTTCCGTTGAGTTGACCGATTAAATAGCACAATGTCTGATCCTTACCTCCTCCTTCCTCAATATTAAGTATTATAAAAAGAAATATAAAAATAAATTTTAAAACTCTCCCTTCCATCTCTAAACTCATACCATTCCTCACCACCCTCTATGTCAGCTTATATAAGCTTAATTCTGCCCGTCAAAAGTGTAAATTTTAAATTCATTTGTCGTTTCACCTTTTGAAAGTGAAGTCTGAAGATCAATGGAAAAATAAAATTCTCTGGTGAAATAAATTATTACAAACGGAGTCTTAAAGTGGTCTGTTTTTCATTAAATTCAAATAATATATATATATATATATATATATATATATATATATATATATATATATATATATATATATATTTTATTTATGCAAAACTAGGTAATCCGCATGGGTAGACCCAAGGAGGATGATATCCAGAGAGCTCAATGTAAAATTCAGAGCCGATATGTTTGAATAAAATTTTTTTGAATAAAATTTTTCATTTCAACCTTTGGAAGTAAAGTCTGATGATCCAGAGCCCTGTTAAAAGGGTTATGGTGAAATAACTTATTACATGGAACCTTAAAAGTGGTCTGTTTTTATTCAATATATATATATATATATATATATATATATATATATATATATATATATATATATATATATAGGTAATTTGTTTGTTTGTAATCCAAGTGAATCCAGTCAATACCGTAAATTGAAATAAAGTTTTTTTTCAATTATATATATATATATATATATATATATATATATATATATATATAATAAAAAAAAAAGAACAGTAAGATATATAATCCGGTGTTGTTATTAATATTCTTCATTTTTTTATTTTTACAAAACAGGGCTCATTGTAAATTTAAAGAGCATAAAGATTATAAATTAACTGATTTAAAATATGGCTTCTTCAATACATAGTAATAAGCCTGTTTCAAAAACCGAAGCTAAAACCTTCAAATTAATTATATAATTAAATTAAAAGCATTAGTTCTGTTTCATCTTCAAGCAAATTTTAGAATAAATTATTTTAAATTTTACTGAGTTTTAAATGCACATATAAATTCATAATTTCTTGTTTCCAATGATACAGAGAAACCCAATCATTTAGACAGGGGCGGTACCGTGTTCCTTTTTATTAACTATTGTTGTATCAATTATGAGTTACTTTCGAAAAAGTGGTGAAGTTTACGGAGGGTACGGGGGTATTTTTCAAGGAATTCTGACATCCATTAAATGCATGTCGTCTGGGTTTTTTTTTATTTTATTATTAACGACTAAAAGTTTTTCGGCATTTTTTTTAGTTAAATTCATACTTGTATATTTAACGATTCTTTCTAAAAGGGGTGTTTGGGTTATATTCAAACATATATTGTGAAATCTAAAAACAGAAACATATACATTTAAAAATTAGAACAGAGCAACCCACACTCAACAAAATTACATTTCAAACTAGTCAAAACACTAGACATATGGTTCTGTTGTTAATACTCCATTCTCTCGCGACTTCATAAAACCGCATCATGAAATTACGACCTACGTCTGATGTTGCGCGGCCGTTATTGTCGCATAGTAATGTACTCTGTCAACATAACAGAATATCATCTTTGATGGCGAATATCTTTCTTTAAATGCCCGTAAAATCACCCTGAAGATCGCTCGTCTAAGCTGAAAGCATAGACCAAAGACTAGCTTGACAAGAAATAGCCAAATGTTGGACAATTTTGGCCTTATTTTCTCCCGAAATTAAAGCAAACATACGGATTTTAAAACGGCTCATGATCAAACATAATAGACATTCGTTGTCTGTTGCATTTAACACTATATATTTGAATAATGCTCTGCTGTCCAAATACAATATATATATATATATATATATATATATATATATATTACAAAGAACGAACATTATCTATGAGTTCAAATGCCCCTTAAGGAACTGTGTTCCTAATCAAACCGGACTCATAAATAATTACATCGGTTACACAACCACATGCTTATCTAGACGTCTTACGTTACACCTATCTGATCACAGCTCCATTAGAACCCATTTAAACACACACACACAAATTTACCAGACTCCATTAGAAACACACTAGTAGAAAACACAAATATATTAACTGCATCCACCTGTAAAAAAAGACTAAAAGTAATGGAAGCTTTAATAATAAAAAGAAAAAGCCAACTCTTAACAATATTAACTACGAACAAGGCCACAATGTGCTAACCGTATTCGGAAATTAAAACATCCATACTACACACTAAAACATACACATAATGCACACAATCAATTAAGCTGAAAAATCAAATCATCCTTTATGAATGGCTAAAGGTATAGCCGAATGTGCTCGGCAATGTAAAACATTTCGATAGTTTTTACACACACTTTGTCCAGAAAAGAAAGCTCTTGTTCGAACACAAGTAAAATTAAATAAAAAGTATAACCGTAGTACCTTGTCTGTCGTTTTTATTGAAACATGCATAAACGAACGTTTGCTGCCCATATATAAATATATATATATATATATATATATATATATATATATAGAGAGATATAGAGAGAGAGAGAGAGAGAGAGAGAGAGAGAGAAAGAATCTTTGAAAAATGTTTCCCCACAATAAATAAGGACAAATGTACACATAAACATATGTCTGCAAATCCTTCGTTTTTGAGTTTAAGGAAAGTTTCCAGTAGATGGCGTTGTGTTGGCATGAAAACTAAGATACTTTTGTAATTTGTGTACATTTCTGGCTAGATCGTATTCAACGTTTGTAGTAGTGAGTTAGCTGGGAAGAGTTCCGTTTAACAATGGCAGGATATTCCTGTCCTGACCAGACAGATATAATTTTTACATACGGCCGTGAGAATGGTAATAGACGTGAGGCTGCATGGCTGTATCAGATTGCGCTTCCAGACCTAAGCCAGCTGAGTCTTCCAACCTTTGCTGCTGTTTATCGTTGCGTTACTGAGACAGGATCCATGGCACCACAATCTATGGATGGAGGAAGGCTAAGATCCTCTTTTACGCCTTACCACGAAGATCACATTCTACAGGCTGTCGGACGACGATCCAGGTATCAGTACACCTCAAGTGGCCCTAGTATGTCGTACATCGTCGGAAGTATTTCAAGAGAAACTCCTGTATCTGTATCATTTGTAACGAGTACAGGGACTTTCATTCAAACTGCCCCTCTTCAGTCTTGTTTATTGTTGAAACAAAATTTGGAAGAGATCTGCACATAAATTTACATTTGTGTGCAGATCGGAATCCTCATAGTACAAGCTAGACATCACCATCAGTTTACGAATTATGTGTGAGCTGGAATATGTTCTCCCACGACGTCTTACAGTAGATCCCTACAGTGGATTTATCTATAACACACTTCCAGACTTGCTAGAGGATGTACCCCTGCTAATACAAAGACACATGTGGTTCATGCATGATGGGGCCCCAGCACATTTTGTCACATTGTTCGCGATGCATTGGCTGACATCTACCATGAAAGATGGATAAGTAAGGGAGGACCGTTTCCATTGCCTTACGTTCCTCCGAACTTAATCTTTTGAAATTTTATCTATGGGGCCACCTAAATTATTGGTTTATGCAGCAGTCATTAATAATGCAAAAATGCTTCTTCAATGTGTCACGGGGACCTGCAAAACCATTCGACACCGTGTGGGGGTATTTGAAAGGGTCCGCCAGTCAAAGATCTGACTGGTGCTTGCGTGTGTAGAAGCAAGCGAAGGATATTTTGAAAATTAGTATTGAATTGTTCTATTTAGGTACAGCGATATTGAATATATGTTTATATGAACATTTTACCTTGTTGTGGTGCCAAAAAAACGTATTTTTGTTACACAGCGTGTATGAAAAAAACAGTGGCAAACAGAGAAAATGAATTTAATGCCGTGTTTCTTTCTGTGTAGAAGTTAAATAATCGAGCAAAAACGCTAGTATGTTTTTCTAACATGGCATTTTATTTTTTCATTATTCTTCATATATATATATATATGTGTGTGTGTGTGTGTGTGTGTGTGTGCGTGCGTGCGCGTGTGTGTAATGCGAATGTCAGTGTCTCACTTTTTCAATTAAAGGAACACAACTCTCTAATTTTCAATAGCTCATGTT